GCGGGATTGCCCGTCACAATGTAACGTCCCCCCCCCGGCTGAAAGGGTGAGCATGTTTGGCGTGACGGGGATTCGAACTCGCGACCCGCAGATTGCGAGTCGAACGCCCTAACCACCTGCCCATGCCGGGCGTCCATTCTTGAACAAGAGTCTGAGATTTTCAAAATATCCTAATATTTCTTTTTGTTATTCTCTCTGGTGATATAAAAAATCTTATAATGTCCGGTGCTTAAACGCTAGAGCTGTTTACTAAAAATAAAAGACGGAATATGTGTAAAACTCAAATTTAAATGTTAACTATATGAACAGATGCAATAATATGGGTCGAGTTGATAAATTATAATTACACGTGTCCCCCTCGAGTTTTCTAAAAACTTCCTGATTTTGCAGTTTTTCTTGACGACGCGAGTGATCACGTAAGATACCGAGAAAGGTAGTTTCGACTGAACAGTAAAGCCAGTAACACTTTGTACCAGACTAGCAGATGAGTCTTATATTTATCAGTCGCACGCTCACGAACTTTCTGTAACTTCCGTGTTTCCGTTACAAACACTCGTAAGGCTGTAGTTGAGTAGTTTGACACGCCAGTCACGCGAAAAACTTGAAAGTTTAATGATTAAGTAGCATTAGACCCACTTTAACTTTCACCAGGCCGCATCCTATTTTCCCCTGACTAAAACCTTTCATTCATTTATTACTCAGAAAGTAAACGATAAACCACGAAAGAGTCTTCATATCTTGTGTTTTGTTACACTAAGTAATGCACCTCTAAGAGAATGTTCTATATTTCACACTTCGGAAAATGCTGCGTTCGGGAAAAGAAGGTGCTTCTCAATAGGATATAGCTTATAAATTCACCCCGTCAAAAAAAGAACAAAAAAAAGTGGATGCTAATTAAGCGAATAAAGACAGTTTAATTATAGTTTCGCTGGATTTCTCTGTCGGCGAGATTTTGTTTTTTCACATATCTCTTTGTATTTTAGTGCACTTCCAAAGAGTAATGATATCTTTGTATTTTAGTGCACTTCCAAAGATTAATGATATCTTTGTACTTTAGTGCACTTACAAAGAGTAATGATATCTTTGTATTTTAGTGCACTTCCAAAGAGTAATGATTTCTTTGTATTTTAGTGCACTTCCAAAGATTAATGATATCTTTGTATTTTAGTGCACTTACAAAGATTAATGATATCTTTGTATTTTAGTGCACTTACAAAGATTAATGATATCTTTGTATTTTAGTGCACTTACAAAGATTAATGATATCTTTGTATTTTAGTGCACTTACAAAGAGGGATTTGTGAAATATATTGTAATTATTGGGTAACAAAACGATCACTGCAGTAAAAATCTAGCAAACCAACATAAACTAAGTTTTCATTTTATTTTTGATTTAGAAGAAAGGTTTTCAGCCATAATACATTCAAACAGTGACATAATACTTTTTATTAAGAAGAATGCTTCCCCTTAATTGATAATACATATCAACGTTCCCTATTTTCTATTTTACGAGCAATCAAGCTTATTTTTTTTACGATATTAAGAGAAATGATGAACACTGAACAGTGAAAAAAAGTCTGACATTGACTGCAGTTACTTAAATTTTATTACTGAACAGTGAAAAAAAAGTCTGACAGTGACTGCAGTTACTTAAATCCTATTACTGAACAGTGAAATAAAAGGTCTGACAGTGACTGCAGTTACTTAAATCCTATTACTGAACAGTGAAAAAAGTCTGACAGTGACTGCAGTTACTTAAATCCTATTACTGAACAGTGAAAAAAGTCTGACAGTGACTGCAGTTACTTAAATCCTATTACTGAACA